AACCCTGGTCTAGACCAGGATTAGAGTCGCTTTTGTGCTGTTAATCCCACATTGCGGTTCAAAACTTGCACAGAGTGAAACAGTGTTAGAATGTTACGGCTAGATGCTTAGCAACAGACAGCCAATCAAGTGCCTCGTGTTCACATGCTTTGGACAGTCACAGAAATGAAATTCATAATTTTGGGGCATCTCCCCCGGGGGCCGGGTAGGGTTAGGATTAGGGTTAGGGTTAGGTTTAGACCTAGGTTCGCTAGCTAGTTCTGTGCCTGCCTGTGTGCGCTATTGTGCGCGCTGACCCTGGTCAACGAGAACCCGCATGAGAGATGTGAAGCAGGACGTAACCCCGCTCCCCGGCCGAGATGCCCCAAAATTTATGAGTCCCCACAGAAATTGTATAAACAGTTGTTTCTGCAGATGGGAATGCGGATGTTTCTGCAGATCTGCAGTTGTTTCTGCGGATGTTTGAAGGGAAACATTTCAAATGGCAACAAAAAAACTCACCAATTGGAGTAAAGAAGTGACCTATTTATTCTAACCTTTACAGTCCAAAAAGTCCATATATAAAAACTTGATAGCATTTGGCAATATATAATATGAGGACGCGCAATGCAAGAGTCTTGATGTAAACACGTGTCGTTCGTCCAATCTGTGACAATAACACAGCAAATATGCAAATAAGAACGTTAACCCAGGGTTTAGGAACATACAGTATGAAACATCGGTTCATAAATACCCATTAGTGCTGCACGATTAATATATCGCAATCGCGATGTCAAGCCTATGCGATTATATGACGCAAAATACTGTGATTTTATATTGTATACAAATTAGGGCTGTTAACGCAGCATCTGTTATTTTTTGTCATGCTTTGGCTAGTGTTACATGATCCCGCTATTATTCATGCGAATGCTTTAAACCATTCAGCGAGACAAGTCAAAAGAGAGCGCGCTGCCTGCGAATGTCCTGACTGAAAGACGCGCGCCAGTATCATGCGCATGCACAGACCGCGCCAGAATACAGTTCTCTTTCCGCTTGAAGTCAACGAACAATAACACACACAATTATGCCAAAATATAATTTGTCGAGTGTCTTCATAACATAAGAGCAGTCTTATGATGGTCGTAAAGAGTTGTGAGAGAATAAGGCGCGTGTGAGATCCGCGTCTCTGTCAGCAACTCTTAAAGGGCCAGCATCCAATAATGCTTTCTGTCAGTAAAGTTAATCAAAGAACAAAGGGAACAGAGAAAAATACTCACTGCTCTTGACCAAAGAACTTTATATGGAATAGTCCATATAATTTATAATTTATGCAGCGCAGACTGTTTGATAACTTTATTCAATTTCTGTATATATCCTACCTGTAGACAGGAAGAGCACAGGTAAATATGAAATTTTAATTATGGGTTTATGTGAGGATTGTTTGAAGTTCACTTGTGGTACCGCGCTACTGACAGGCCAACCGCAGAGGAATGCAAGTAACCGCAGCAACCGCGTTTTCTTTTTTCATAAGGCCACCCTTCGTAGTTCGTACCATGTGTATTGAATGTTAAATAAGTTAATAATGATAACAAGACTGTTTATCATGGTGATTTGTACAGAGGCTTCGTGGATTTGGACTTAAGCCTAAACAGACAGTGAATGTGATCGACTGAGCGCGTGCGATTACCTGCGTCTGTCTTTGAAGTCAAGTCATGTATATTCGTGAAAAGGTTGCCGTTTCCAAGGAAAGCGAAATATTTGTCATATCATCCTTTTAACGTGTAAGGGTAGGCTATTTACCATGAATGGCGTCAGCGCTGGTCAGCATTACACAGTGCGAGGAAGCCGTGGTGAGAAAGCAGCGAGTCACGCATTGGTCTCTAATATTAAGTGAAGCATTGCTGGCCAGCTGAGCCTTGAAAAGTGGAGCTCAAAGTTAAAAAAAAAGAATTAACGCCTTGTTTCATTACATCTATCATTTAAGGAATCAGCTTTTTTGAATGTTTTCGTTGAATGAATTAACGGTTTAATGACTCACTCAGTCTATTGGTGCGTTCACGTGCTATGGAAAATATGATATTTTCCTCTTGTGAACTGGTATTTACCAGTGTGTTGCTTTCAAGTGCTTTTGTTGTCGTAATGTGGTAAAAAGATGGAGATCCTGACCTGTTATTTAGCTAAAACTATTTTAGATTGCTTAAGTCATCTGCTACAGCAAGAAAATGATTTATCAAAACTCAAACGTAAATAATATATGCTGTATATTTTCTAGATCATGAATAGTACATATTTTTACCATTCACAACTCTTGCGTTGCTCTCCGCCATTTTGAAAAGGTCAAAGGTAATCTCATCTCGGCAACTCGTGCATCAAAATATTCTATGAGTTGCCCAGTGGAAAATACCACATGAGGGGGTGTTCATGTGCATTTTCCATGTCGGCTTTTGGTATTTACCATAATTACCATAGCACGTGAACGCACCATAAGACTCAAAGACAGTCCGTTGGCATAACAATGTAACTGCACGCTGAGTGACAGTCTTTCAATGCGCAGAGACGCTGTTTAGTTTCGGTTACATTGTTTTTTGTGTATGCTGACCACATCATAACACGTATTTATAGCAACAAATAAATATAAATAAATAAATGGCGGTAATACCGCATATCGCGCTATTGAGCCACTCAAAATTACCGCAAGGGAAATTCCTTCACCGCGACAGCCCTACACTTGAATAAAAATTAAATTAAATTTTATCCAGACATCAATGGCTTATAGATCATTATAGGTGTTACCAATCATTTAGTTGTTGTTGCTAGTTTGAGTTGAGAAATACACATTTCAGAATTATCACTAATCTGTAGGGCTGTCAACTTTAGTCGTTTAGTCGACTAATCGGTCGATGCCGTCTTGGTCGACTGACATTCTTATTGGTCGACCGGTTTTGATTATTTTTTTTTATTATTTTTTTTTTTTTTTTTACCAATAGAAAGAAATTTTCAATGATTTACTCATTGATTTGTATTCCTTTATAAGCAGTTATATATTGCTGTATTCTAAATATAATTAGCCTATGGTTTATCCCGCTCTTTAAATGCTTTAATTTAGGCTATTTTGTAAGAGCGCCACAGTTTAGCACACACACATAGAACACTCGGTGGCTGGCTGCGCTGCTGCTTCGTGCTCACTAAGGGATATAGGTAGTTTAGCTGTATTCATTCAGTTAGAACGCTACTTGTTTCGGTTTTTATACACTATATGTTTTTATCTCGATGCGGCGTGGACGCACTCGGAAAAAAAAGAGCGCGTCGCACCGCGACCGCGTTGCTTCCATCATGAGCGCGCACACCGCGCGCCTACATTTGAAATCGAACTTGAGCGCGCAAAAGACGTGAGCAGTCCCTTTAACGGCTTTATCATGCTGACTCAATAGATTGTGTTTTCTTGATATGTTTTTGTTTTTATTTGTACACTTGAAGTATTTGAAAATAGCCTAAATAATGTAACAAAACGAAAATAAACCTATATGCGGTCCTACAATACAGCCTATTATTATTAGGATTGTTTTTTAGGCTCTCTGGGTTTTTTGTGTGTTTGTTTTAAAACGCCTAGATCGGCTGGACAAAAGTTAACCCATAGCTTTGAAAGTAAAGAAGAATATACAGCCTGTATAAACGAGAGCTTTTGTTAGGATGTTTCATTATGTGGCAGATAGCAGTTATATTTTTTGTAGCGTGTGGTGTGGTCAGGTGCGCGATTGTGACTGTTACTATAGACCTAGGACAGTGCTCCTCACTTTTTGCAGTTAAAAAAAATCACTTAATTTTCAAAGAATTGTATTATTATTATAGTTTTATGTATTTTTGATGTTTTTTCGTTGTTGTTTTATAAATGCTCTATGACAATTGTTAAAAAAAATGTTCAATCAAAGCATCGCGTCTTTTTTTTCTTTTTTTTTAGTCGACTAATCGTTGCGCAGGACAAGACTTTGGTCGACTAAGGATTTCTTTGGTTGACTACAGCCCTACTAATCTGTGTGTGCATTTTGCTTTAGAACCAAGCAAGTTGACTCATGAAACCATTTTATTATTATTATTTATTATTTTATTGTTTATTATATCGCAATCGCATATCGCAATATTGACCTCAATAATCGCAATATGACATTTTCCCCAAATCGTGCAGCCCTAATACCCAGGATTAATTGTTAACCCTGGGTAAATTATGATCAGTGTGAACGTTTACAATGACCCAGCGTTACCCATTTCAAGTGTGGAAAGCCTTCTTGTATGTCTAGAGTTATAAAACAGATAGTTCTGGACCTTGATTCTGAATGGTTGAGCCGTGTTCTAAGCCGTAGTAAATTACTCTACAAGGACTCAAGCCATCCAAGCCACGTAACGTTTTCAGTGCTCTTATCACGGTTACAGTACCATAGCATTAAGGCCCAGACTAGCAGGCTCAGAGACAGTTTCTGGTCAATCCTGTTCCTGGAGTACCCACAGCACTGCACATTTACAAATTCAACTCATCAGCTAGTTAGTAAAGACTCCAAGACCTCTAATGTGTTAGATAAGAGAGACATTAAAAATAGACAGTGCTGGGATACTCCAGGACCAGGGTTGGGAACGACTGACCTAAACCAATATATTCCTTATTTTAATAAATCCTCACCGCAACTTTTAAAAGTATGACTTTACCAGGAAAAGAAAAATATTTTTCTTAAAATGCTTAATCCTTATCCTTAAACTATGAACGATGGAAAAGACATGCACATTCATTGACTGAAAAGACTGTAATTGGTGAAGAACATTCAGCTTTTAAAACTTCAGAAATGTAATTACTTGGATTTTAATTGTAAATAAAAAATAAAATAATTCATTTAAATATTTTAATCTGTAGACACTTTAAATTTAAGTAAATGAAAAAGCCATTACAGCACATTTAGCTAAACTATTAGCCTACATGAGAGGTTTTATGTTTATATTTCAATTCAGTTGATAATATGTTCATATTTTCACACTCACAGAGCTTTTCTGCAGTTCCTCAGAGCAGGTAACAGTCTCCTTCGACCCTCTTGTGATGATCTGATCCTGTACTTTTTAAGGTCAAACTCATCCATCACCTCCTCTGACATCAGGATCATGTTTGCCAAAGTTGAACATTGTGCAAGAGAAAGACGTTTGTCGTTTGTTCCAGATTGTAAAAATGCCTGCATTTCTTCAACTAGAGAACTATCCTTCATCTCAATCAAGCAGTGTGACAGATTCATCCATCTTTCAGGACTGATATTGTCATTTGTGTTTAGTGTGTTTTTAAGATTGTGGATTATTTTCTTGATGCTCTCTGGGTTGTTCTCTGTGTGAATCAGCAGATCCTGTAAGAGCCTCTGATTGGACTCCAGCGAGATGCCATGAAGGAATCGAAGGAGAAGATCCAGGTGTCCATTTTTACTGTTCAAGGCTATATTAACTACTTCTTTCAGAAACACATCCAGAGAAACATTTCCAGACTGAGTTCCTGTCAGGAACATTATAAGACTGTTCTTGTGTAAATAGCAGAAAAACACATACAGTGCTGCAAAAAACTCCTGAAAGCTGAGATGTACAAAGCTGTAAACCTTCCTGTGATAAATCACAGATTCCTCCCTAAAGATCTCAGTGCAAATCCCAGAATACACTGAGGCGTCAGTGACGTCTATGCCGCTCTCAATCAGGTCCTCCTCATAGAACATCACATTGCCCTTCATCAGCTGATTGAAAGCCAGTTCAGCAAGTTTCACAATCACTTCTCTGTTGGACTGCAGTAGTTTCTCTGGATCTCTCTCTTCATACTTCTGGCTCCTCATATGAGTTTGAATGAGGAGGAAGTGTATGTACATTTCAGTCAGAGTTTGAGGGATTTCTGCACTGAGATCTTGTTTCAGGATATTCTGAAGCACAGTGGATGAAATCCAGCAGAAGACGGGTATGTGACACATGATGTGGAGGCTTCTTGCTCTTCTGATGTGTGAGATGATTCTGCTGGCTTGATGCTCATCACGGATTCTCTTCCTGAAATATTCCTCCTTCTGAGGGTCATTGAATCCCTGAATTTCTGTCACACGGTTGATGTATTTGGAGGGGATCTGATTGGCTGTTGCTGGTCTGGTGGTTATCCAGATGAGAGCAGAGGGAAGCAGATCTCCTTTCATGAGGTTTGACATCAACACACCCACTGATGAAGTCTCAGTCACATCAGAAACTTTCTCACTGTCTGAAAACATCAGTGTAATTCTGCTTTCATCCAGACCATCAAATATCAACACAACTGTACATTCATCATAAATCTTTGAGTCCAGATCTTGAAGTTCAGGATGAAAGTCCAGCAGAAGTGTGTGAAGACTGTACTGATGATCTTTAATCAAGTTCAGCTCTCTAAATGGAAGCACAAACATGAAATCTACATCCTGATTGGCTTTTCCCTCGGCCCAGTCCAGAATGAACTTCTGCACAGAGACGGTTTTTCCAATTCCAGCGATGCCTTTAGTAAGAACAGTCTTGATTTTGTCTTTCTTTCTTCTCTTCTCCTCATATCCTAGTTCAGGTGAAGGATCAAAGATGTCATTGCAGTTGATTGGAGTGTCTTGGAGTGTCTTGTAACTTTTCTCCATCTGTAGCACCTCATGTTCTTCATTCACTCCTTCACTCTCTCCCTCTATGATGTACAGCTGTGTGTAAATCCTGTTCAGGAGAGTCTGATTCTCTTGTAGTTTGATTCCCTCAAATAAGCTCTCATATCTGTTCTTCATGCTGGTTTTGTGCTGGTCTTTGACTCTCTGCAGATCATCATGCACTGGCTGGTGAGAATCGAGCTGCAGGGCTGCTTCTGTGTCATGATGACTGATGGGTTTCTGACAGGAGGAGGATGTGCTGGTCTGACAGGACACATCTCTGATCTGCTCAGCTCTCCCACCACTGAAAATACAATAAGAAGAACAGAGAGACAAACATTTTTGTTAAAATAAAGTATTTAAATATGTCTAATATGTAGAAATAAGTGTTTCCTCTTTATGGCAGATTTCTATCTATTGTGGCCAACTGACTTCCTAATATCACACATGTAGATCCTCAAGGTTCTGTTCTCGCACTGATATTGTTTACCCTTGTTTCCAGCAAACTGTAAATAAATTATGAACACCAGGCATTTGGGGCAGATAATGACCTGCATATTAAAAGTAATGAGACATCAATATTTCAGTAGTCAAAATGTTCGGAAAAAGATAAAGGCGGCTCAAATTCTTGACAAAGTTTTACCAGAAACCATTATTTTAAAATATCACAGAAACACAGACATGAAGAAAAGGCAGTGTTCATGTGAAATGATTACATGTAATTGATTTACTTGTAAATGGCGACAGATGACGGATGATTATTAAATCAACAGTTATTCTGAAGAATATGTAAAGTTTGCTGTTGAAGCTAAAGGCACAACAATAAACATGATAATCAACAGCTGGCTTACTTTTCCATTTGTTGACATGACATGGTTTGATTCAGATGGAAAATATCATTAAGTTGGGTGCCCAACTTAGAGATAATCACTATATTTATAATGAAACCATTATATTAAAAATATATATTAATCATATAATAAAATATCACAATTATTGTTACTACTAAAGCCAATATAATTTTCATGGGATCTCCTTCAAAGCTTTAAGGATATTTAGTTTTTAAATATTTGTTCTGTGTTTTTAAAATGAACAGTTTAATTTTAATGACAGTATATTATTACATATTATGTATATATACTTATATACAAGTTTAATTATATCAAGTGCTGTGAGAAAAGGCTATAAATCTCCACCTCCAACATCCTCACTCGCAATATAGCTTATACTAGCCGAGACTCTTCTTTATGTGTACAGATGTGTGTGTACAGATGTGTGTGCACATGTGTGTGTACAGATGCGTGTGTGTACAGATGCGTGTGCACAGATGTGACGTAATGACGCAAAGACATGCTCGAATCCCCTGCAGAAATCCACCAGTACCACTGGAATTAAAAACATTATTACAAGCTTACCGCTTTGAATCGAGCTACGGCAAGCAGAGAGTTTTAAACACTGGCTGGTTATGCATTTTCTCAAATATGTATTTTGGATAATTTTTAACCCCAAAAAAGCTACGGACTGCAGCTTTAATGACAAATGTCGAGAGCGCATCCAAGAAATGCGCGAGCACAAATCTCTCAACTCGCAGGCGGATTTCCTTCACTATCACACAAAACTGGACGCACCTTCTCAAAAATACAGTCTCATGGCTCTTGTGCTCTCGCTCAGATATTACGTGTGTGCTCAAACTCAAAATAATCGTGATTATGATTTTTGCCATAATCAAGCAGCCCTAGTAATATAATTAGAAACATTCTATAAACCTTCTGCACACAAAAGTATAATTTCGAAATTATAATTACAAACAGAGCATTAAATCTATGTATTAGTGTAAAATAGGGTTAATACATTTTCGTTTAATTTTACGGTGAATTAGTCAATTAATTGGTATAAGCTGACTTTCAATGTTGTTTCATTTTGTCAGTTATTGTTATTTTTTTTTATTTAGGAGTACGAATCATAACTACAATTTGTGTGAGTCATTGATGTTTATTTGATATTTTGAGGAGCTACTTTAGAATATTTCAACTGGAACGGACCACTAGTGGAAACTTTTTCCATTTTATTTACATTTAATGCAAGTTCAATGTAAAAATTTATTTTTATTTCTGTTGTTGCTTGCTTTCACTTCAGCAATACAATCATATGTGTGTCTTATCAAAAGAAGCCAGTAGTCCAAAGCATTCATGAAATTAAAACCTTTCAAGTTTTTAAATCACTAAATGGAGTTTGAATGTCACCTAGCGGCCATATTGGCTACTGCGCCTAAAACTCCCAGATATTGATAGTTTGAGACAAATTTCAAAGACAACTTGGTTGGATTTACTACTTTGACTTGCAGTTTTAGGGTGCTCAGGCACAGGCTTTACAGGTGAAACTCGAAAAATTTGAATATCGTGCACTAGTTCATTTATTTCAGTAATTCAACTTAAAAGGTGAAACTAATATATTATATAGACTCATTACATGCAAAGTGAGATATTTCAAGCCTTTATTTGTTATAATTTTGATGATTATGGCTTACAGCTTATGAAAACTCCAGTCAAAATTAGAATATTGTGAAAAGGTGTATTGCTTAAAGCCATAATCATCATAAAAATAAATGTATGCAGCACATTAAGTTCAGCAACCATTAAAGTTTGGATATGTATTTTTCCAGTCTATGTTTAAGAATAGGGTCGCCAGGTGAGAGGCTGATGAGACTAACTAGTGATCTGGATTCCAAGTCTATCACCTATAACAGGGATCTCCAACCCTACTCCAGGAGAGCACACATGCCTGTTATTATCCTGTAACCCTGAACAGCTTGATTAGCTGGTCCAGGTGTGTTTGATTAGCCTGACTACGTCAGACTTCGTACTTCCACTCAATTTCATTTCGCTTCTGTACTCAGTTTGAGACAGCGGCCTATCTATCCGTTTTCCTCCGGCCTGAAAACAGCCGGCCAATCAACGAACAGAGGGCGGGCTGAAAGCCGTGACGTAGTCGGTAAGCGCCGAGTTTAAGATTAGGTCAGGGAAATCGAAAACGACCGCGGATATGGAGACGCGGATGCAATTCGCTCTGTTGTGGAGAATATTCCCGGCATTAACAAACTGAAGCCCAGAAGCTGAAAGCTGCGCTGGCTGAGTTCTCCGAATGCTCTCGAATCGCTCTCGCGGTATTTTGATGGCATACGTCACAGTCACGTGGCGTCGGCGCTGTATCAAGTCGGACAACATTTTTAACCGGCATGCACTGCTTCAAGTCAGCCGCCGATCGGTCTGCGCAGAGCTGCATGAAGTCGAACAAGCCTCTAGTGTGTTTGCTTCAGACATCATTTTCACGTGACTAATGACGTAATGATACAAGCTCCGAAGCAGTGGTTCATTGCAAGGACCGTTCGAGTTTGAAGCAAGCTTCGGAGCGTCGGTGTCAGACGTAACATCACTAGTTGTGGCCCTACTCCCTTTGGGAAAAGTTTAATTTATTAACTATTACCGATCGTCAGCGAGAAACTGGGGAGCCTTTTGACAGGTCAGTGTCTCCTTTCTTTTCCAGGTCTTAAATGTTGCCATGACATGCTGTAATCTTGCAATTAAGTTGCAGCATTTCCGACAGACTCGAGATGAACAAAGAGCTGTGTTTAACAGAACTAATCCTAACTTTGGCTGCAAATATTTTTTTGTTTCTCTCTACTGTCAAATATCAGTTTAGAGGCCCTGATTGTACCATGGATGTGTAGATTAACTTCGCATAATCTGCAAAAGTCGTTTACAGCCATGTTCACTCCGGTATTTCGCTCGCATCATCAAGTGTTTACAGCAGGTTTACAGTGGAAGTTCGATCATAGATTTGAGTTCGATGCATGATGTCTGTGGTTCGATACGGCTGTGTCGGCACATAACATACGTCATATATAAACTTATCTGATTGGCTTACGGGTAACCAATGATTTTAAACTTCAGACAAGCGCCCCCTAGCGAGAGAGAAAACACTTCTCTATTATGCCATTACAGACTCTGTCTACGAAGCAAAGTGAAGTAGCAGAGTCTGGTATTACCAGGCTAGTGTTTGATTCAATATTATGAAGCTGCAGACTCGGAGCCTGCATCTACAGTCCCCCACCGAGAGTCCTGCATTCTCAGACCCCTCGTTTTTCGAACACAGCGCCTCCTGCTGTTCGAAAGATCGTATAACACCCGCACACAGAGTATAGCGCACGCTTATCCAAATGCAATTAAAAACAATAGGATGAAATATTACTGTCTCCAAATAAATGATCCAATAAATATTTGCGTTCCCTGCTTAATGCATGTGCCAAAAAAAACTCATTGCGATGGAAGGGATACAATTACAGATTGAACTATCTTCTGAAAAATAGTATGTGATATTATATTATATTATATTTTTTTTATTCAAATTCCAATTTTTCTTTCAGTTCAATCTATAATGGTCTAATTAACATTACCATGCTAACATTACAAAATCTGTTTTTTTTTTTTATATTTTGAATGCGAAGCAAAACAAATCAGAATAGACAAAACACCAATAATAAACAATTCTGTACTTTATTTAATGATCACCTAAACATCATCTTGCTGTAAAGAAAAAAGGAAGAAAAAACTGTGTTCGTGACTTTACTTTTCGTCTTCAATTGCATAAAAAAACTAATTTATAAGTCGCTTTGCATAATCATAAAATGATATGTTGCTGGGTTCGGCAGGGGCGACTCCATCGATGTATGGTGTACCCTGGAATAGCCTACAACAGTATAGGCCCGATAGCACATGTCTTATGATGTTTCAAAAAAAAAAAAAAAAAAAAAAAAAAAAAAAAAAAGATGTTTGCAAATGTTACCTTCATGTTGCACTGCTCTGTTGAAGTCCCTTGAGATGTTTTTGAACTTTGGACAACTTTGTGGGTTTGAAATATATGGGGGCACAAAATGGGCAGTGAAAATCACTGCAGCATTTATGACATATCTACAAAAAGTCCAAGGTTAAAGGCTAACGTTAGCTATCAAAATATTTTCGGGGGGAAGAGGGCGAAAAAACATACATTAACGGCTCAAATCTAAACTATCTTTACAAATATTAAATGGACTATTCATATGTTGTATCGATGAGCTAAATTAGTTTTATTAAAAAATAAATCAAACGAGTAGGGTACTACGATTTGCTAAATAAAATTGAAGATAGCCTACTCACGTTCACATGTTTATCCGATACAATTTGATAGGAGGCGCTGTCTCGAAAAACGAGGGGTCTGAGAATGCGGGACTCTGGGTGCAGGGGGACTGTAGATGCAGGTCTCCGAGTCTGCAGCTTCATACTACTCGTTTGATTGGGGTTGGAGCTAAAATCTGCAGGACAGTAGCTCTCCAGGAGCAGGGTTGGAGACCCCTGATCTATTCAATCTGGATACATATTTTATATAGCCTTTTTACTAGGGCTGTCAGTTAAACGCGTTATTAACAGCGTTAACGCAAACGCATTTTAACGGTGTTAATTTTTTTTATCGCGCGATTAACGGTCTTTTTGGCCTAGCAAACTTTGTAGTTTGTTTTTTTCACATGCTTTTGCAACAGGACGTCATGCACTGCGCTATGAAACCCATTCATTTCAATGGCTTGCGCCGCGCGAGGACGTTTTGAAAGCGCAAGCGGATCTAGCTAGACCGGAAACAAAACAACAGGCACGCTGCACACACTTGTATGGGCTTGCGAGCCGGATGCGCGAGCACGAATCTCTCTGCTCGCGCGCGGAATATAATGTGCCGAGCACGAATCTCTCTGCTCGAGTCGCGCGCTCTCAGATACACGCTGCTTTTCTCTGGGCTCACTCAGAGAATATGCCTGCACTTAAAACGTGTTCAGTGCAATCGCGAATCTCTCCTCTTCCCCAGCTAACAATTTTAGATTATAAGAACGTTTTCATAACGTTGCCATTAAGTTATAAAAACGTTATTTCTGAATGTTATAGGAACGTTCAAAACGTCCAGTTTTGAGTGGATGACGAGCGCGAGACGCAGAAATGGACGCCAATAAGTTTCTGAATGGAAAGTTTACTTTTAAAAAGTTGCCAAATGGTTCCATTGACGAGACCAAAGTGATCTGTGTGTGTTGTCGTTGTGAACTGATCATCATCGCAGCACGTCCAGTCTGAATACCACTTGATGATGGCCAGCACACACACACACACACACAGCTGATGCGAATTCTCCGCCCCCTCGTCAATATCAGGACCTCGTCAGTATTTCTTTCACCCTTTTATTGATGGACAGTGTTACATTGAGAGATTATTTGCTCCAAGTGAGAATGTTTTAGTGTGAAATTGAACAGTATATGCCAATGTTGTTTTCAATAAAAAACATTTGCACAAAGCAAGCCGATCCACTTTTCCATGTTGATAAGAGCATTAAAATGAGAAAAAATAAGCTCCAAGTGATAATGTTTTAGTGTGAAATTGAACAGTATATGCCAATGTTGTTTTCAATAAAAAACATTTGCACAAAGCAAGCCGATCCACTTTTCCATGTTGATAAGAGCATTAAAATGAGAAAAAATAATGGGACAAAAAGAAATCAAGAGACATTTAGAATAGATAAAAATGTGCGATTAAATGCGATTAATCGCGATTAAATATTTTAATCGTTTGACAGCACTAGTTTTTACCCTTTATTTTAACAACTATTTGTGCGGCCATACACACACACTTGTTTGTTATTGCCAGTGTTGTAGTTTTCAGGGGCGATTAATATAATATAATTAATATAATATAATATAATATATCTCGTCTAGGGCGCCAACAGAATCTGGACCGGCCCTGCACTTCATGATACTCACACAGGGTCAGAGGTCACAGCAGGTCCATCACTGAGACCAGGAGGATTACCCATGGAGTGGTTACTCTTCATGGACACACAGCTGAATCCTGGATATGGTCCATCACTGAACACAGGAGGATTACCCATGGAGCTGTCACTCTTCATGGACACACAGCTGAATCCTGGAGATGCTGCTCTCTGAGTGTGAACAGCCGCCTCCTCCTCTCTCTCCTCACACACACTCATTTTACAGGTTCGGTTCTCCTCCTCTCTCTCGTCACACACACTCATTTTAAAGGTACGTTTCTCCTCTTCGTCCTTGATGTGACACTTTACTTAAAGGCCTATATGTGGACACAGAGGACATGCACAAAACACAATTGAATTGACACATTTTATTTACATGGCATTTAACTCATTTTAACTTAACGTCAACAGTTTTTCTCCAGTTAACAGTGTTTGTTTGTGGAGCACAACATGTCTGACATGTCGGCCACACTTTCAAACACAGCAGTCTCATTTAAACAGTGGATTCACCTTCACTTTAATGACACTGCTGAACTCTTGCAGGTGTTTTTCACAATCCGTTTTTTTTTCATCTTGCATTAAGCAAATATGATGTTATTTTTATGTTTATCCTATTGACCACACTTTCTTTCCCCAGTATTACTGCGTCACTCAACACACACATAGGCGTCGATTTCGGTGGGGACGGTGAGTCATTTTTTATCCACCACAATTTTTTTTTTTTTTAACTCGTGCTCAATTTAGCCGTTCTGCTGCTGCGCTGGCTACAGTTGGTGTACAGTTGAGACACCTTAAATAACTTGCGCAGCAAGCACAAGTTGTGATTTTTGCTGTGCACATGCATATTAGTGTCCTCTATCTCCGATCCGAAGATATCGGCAAAAGTTTTTTTTCTAAGATAAGACTTTTACTTCACCATGCACACTCCACAATGAATAGCTTATTATCCTTATGTGACTGTTAAACGTAACATATGGCATATTTCATGATATTGTGTCATGCAAGGTCATTGCAAAATCACAAGTGTATCAACTATACCCCCGATAGAGCTCTATGTTTATGATAACAGGTTAAACGTCGTAATTAGCCAGACGCAAATGAAGATAAAATGTGATATTTGTGATATTTAAACTGTGTATTATTAATGAATATATAAAATATATTGTTTCTGTTTTATAAATTTTAACCAGTGCTAATTTAAATAAAATTAATGAATTTAAATGGATGAATAAACAAACATGTTGCCCAATTGTTATTTTCTTTATTTGTCTTTATTTATTATATTTGCAATGAACGGTTAGTTACCTTTACATCATTAAAAATGGGTGTCTCAACTCTACCATGGTACCGTCTCAGCTGTAACGTTACCACATATGGGTACAGTTGAGACAAAGTTGAGACAAAAAGCACTTTATTTTTATGAGCTAATTGTGGAAAATATAAACTACTTATGGGTATTATTGATTGATAATATCTTAGTCTACAAGCTAATGAAATGTCATGTGGAAATTCACTTCTTTTCAGTATCTATTTTTGTGTGAAAAATCAAAACGCAAAGAGTGTCTCAACTGTACTCAGTCTACCCTACGTATAAAGCAGAATAGTGTCATGTCTAATGCTTTTTGAAAACTTAAGGCTTTCTTCATAAAACGAGTCGGACATCACATTTTTGTACACATTTTTATATATTTACATTAGTAAGCTACAGGACATCGTCTTTCAAAACAAAACAAAATGCGTCATTGCACCCAGCACTTCTCAAAATGCACTTCCGAATGCGTCTCTGTCCCCAGCACATTACAAACCAAACTGACGCCCATGAACACACATTATAATATAGATAATACAAATAATACGTAAAGCCAGCCGAAGATTTCGACATTAAACTAATATTCTCCTGTTAAAGGAAAAGGTAAGTGTAAGTTTAACCCTTTTATAAGTGTTACAGTTGACGTGTTGTGAAGTAGGCCTATAACTAAAGTATAACCGTCAACTTTATCATGTAATGTTATTTGCTTTTGAGTTCGTCATAATGTCTGTTTAGACGCAAATACTCCATCGATATTACAGCTATGAAAAGTTTAACGAACTTACTGTCACGAGTGAAGCGATTGCTGATTTTCTGATCTCCTGAAATGGCCTCTTTACGGTCATCGGCTGCTTTCGGTTTCACTGTGAGACCGTTATACAGCAGCTCCTCCTAAAATGGATTCTTTTCACACTTCCGGGTTTAGAAAGAGGAAATAAATGACAGCTGTGCCACTTGTATTGAAGTAAATGCCAGACCATATAAAACAAAAAATATTGCGTTCCAACTTGCACAATTCTTATAAGGCTATAGGGAATAGAAAAGTTTGAAACAACATTTAGGGATTATTTTGTTAATGGAAATATACACAAACAAAAATGCTACAATTTAGAATTTTGCTAACTATTTACCCAACAATTACTTTTGAACATTCTGTAACTTTGCAACTCCATATCAGTTATTAGAGTATTAGTCTGCTTAATATCTGCTAACACTTTATTGTGATGGTCCTCCAACAGACATTCTACTGAATATAAGCTTTGTAAAAATAAAAGAGTCTCTTATTCTCTAGCGTTTTCTGTCAACAAAACCATAAAGTTTGGCATTAGTAGCTTATATGTGCATTTGAAATGGTTCAAGTAAAAATTGTAAACCTTCATGTATGGATGTAATTGTGGCTGGAGAAGCAACAACAGATCGACACAGTTGGTGTGACATCAGGCCTCGGAGACATACATAAAATTGAACACATTTAACACATTTGGACATTTAACATAAAATGTCCAACGAAGGGGAATAAAGTGTCCATGGTGATAAAAGTGACCAAAATAAATCAAGTGATACTTGTCAAATGACGTCTAATGGGGTGGTGCAGGTATGACATCACTCCATTTTTAGGCCAAAACGCAGTTCCCGGAATCAATGGTTTTTTTAAATGGGATTTTGGTTAAATGGCTGAAATAATGTCAGTGGTGAACACAAGCTCAAGACACTTTCACGTTTTATTCTACAACATAAAATTCATCACTATTAAAGATATTTTGAAGAACGATTGGAACCAAACAGTTGTGGGACACCACCATTGACTTCCAGTAGAAACAAAAATGCTATGGAAGTCAATGGTGCCCCACAACTGTTTGGTTCCAATCGTTCTTCAAAATATCTTCCTTTGTGTTCAGCAGAAGAAAGAAAATCATACAGGTTTGCAACAACTTGAGGGTGAGTAAATGATGACATTTTTGGTAATGTAGTAATGGTGGTGGCACAGTCTTTTAACTTCATCAATACATCAAGGAGGTATGAAGCCCATTTTTGACATGCTCTGGTAAGTCATAATTATGAGATGAAAAGTTTAAATGATTACTTAAAATGTCAAAATTATGGCTTAAAGTGAAATTATGACATTAAAGGCATAGTTCACCCAAAAATTAAAATCAGCCCATTATTTACTCACCCTCAATTCGACTGTCAAAATGTTTATTTTTTATCTAAATTATGAGATGAAAACTCAAAATTATGACTTTAAAAGTCAAAGATAAAAAAAAAATCAATTTTGACAGTTGGAATTATGACATCAAATAAATATTGAAATTAAAAACTATGAAGGTAATAATTGAATTGCATGCGCAAGGTAAGATTTGTGAAAGAGTACATAAGATTGCAAGCCTAAAATAAATTTGCATGCGCAAGAGAAGATTTGTAAAGGTGTAAATCGCCCTTCAAGTGTAAGAAAAAAATATTTGCAGCATATAACTGTTATTCGTAAGTGTAATTAACTGTTATTCGTAAGTGTATTTTGAAGCTGCAGTTTCATGCTAACGCAAAATAAATAGGATCTGTATTCTTCAGACTTTCATTTCTCCACACTTACACTTTTGGCACAGTTTTTGTGCACAAATGCGGCCAAAAGCACTGCAGGCCTGAGAACGGCAATCTGCAAGCAAAAACAACAGAGGCAGCAACTGCAAAACAGATGAATTGCGTAAAATCAAACTTTGTGTTAAAAAATAAACTGTTGCAAATGACTGAAAAAGTTCCCGGAATAACCTGATTTGTAGCTACAGTTGCGTCTCTCTTTTACCTGCGTAAGTGGTAAAGAGTTATTCGTAAGTGTAGGCCTATTTTGAAGCTGCATGCTTCATACTAACGCAAAATAAATAAGATCTGTATTCTTCAGACTTTCAAGTTTAACATCAGCTCAGTGGTGTAACAGATTATATAATGTATAAAATTTAAATCCAATAACATTTACACCAGCTCGAAATTCAATATGAATGCCAGTCAGCCTGGTGCACAGCTTATTAAGTAATGATTTATTTAGTTAGTTAGTTGTTCATATATTTATTTATTTAGCATGTATGTGTGCATTATAAGTACCATTTCGGCAATGAGAACAATTCTGAGCCAAACAAAGATAAAGGTGTGTTCTGGTGACTGGCGTGTTTATTGAACCAACCAGATCAGAGTGAGCGAGAAGCTCATCTGATTGGCTACATGATGAAGGTGGACCCGCCCTCCTCTTAGCGCTTGCAAAACTCAGTGAGTGAGAGAATCGTGCCACAACTGAAACCGCAGGTAAAAGAGAGACGCGACTGTACAGATCGGGTTATTTCGGGAACTTTTTTACCCCATGCAGGGGCGGATCTAGGAAAATATTTATGGGGTGGCAAGAGGGGGGCAGGAATTTTTGAGGGGTGGCAACATGGCAGACGTATATATACTGAATTTAATCACAGTTAACACAGTTTGATGAGAAATCGTATGTGTAACACACTACAAAAGGGCATTATTTGTATCTGTTTTGTGTGTGTGTGTGTGTGGGGGGGGGGGGGGGGGGGGGGGTTGGGGGTTGAACTATACTAAAAGTTGAACTATACTCAGTTGAACTATACTCCACAGTGATGAATCCTAAAACAAGCTATAAGCTGCATACCGGTTTTTCCCATGGAAATCTGTGGTGAGTGCAGAGTGCACCTCTGTCCCTCTAGGGGGGTTCGGGGGCATGCTCCCCCGTAAGAAAATTTTGTGCTTTTTAATGTTAAATTCATCAATCTGGTGCACTTTGAGAGTTCAAAATAAAGAGCTCCAACCCATATTCAGTGTGCAAATTGAACAAAAAAAAAACTCAAAACTCTTTTTAGTTGTGATATAGTGTCTGTCTACATTACACTACTATATAATAATAGTTATAATATTAAATAAAATACCCTGTGAACATTCACACGTTTGCTTTATCATAGGCTACAATTTATCTCCATAAATATTAAATAATATTTTCTTAATTCTGCGCATGTATTTTTACTTACT